TCAGTATATTTTACTAAAGACAGGAAAAGCCAATCTGCTCATGGCATTTCCTCCTTAAAATCCCTTGGTTACTACCTTGTGCATAGGATAAAGACCAAAATATTTAACAGAGCCTACAGGCTTGGCACGATCTGGTGTCCAACCACATCGCCAGCTTCATTTCACATCAAGTACCTTCATTCTCTGGGCTCTGGCCATATGGCCCTTCCTTCAATTGCTCACCTTGTTTCCTGTAGCTCCAGGGTCTCTGTCCATGGTCTTCCTTCTTCAGCAGAAAAGCCACTTATTTCCTAGGGAAGCCATTTTTTATCTATACAAGACAACATAACCCCTGTCATTGCATACACACTCAGCACCACATGCTTTTCCCTCACAGCACTTAGCACATTTGCAATTATGTATTTGTTCATATAATAATGCCTGCCTTCCCAACCAGTCTAAAAACTACCTATAGATAGGAACTATGTCTGTTTTGTTCACCATTATATATCCATAGTGCCTACAACAGAACTTGGCACACAGTAGGCATTTAATAAATATTTGACAACAGAATGCCATCTGCAACGGATGGTAATAAGATTCTATCACATGGAGATATATATATATTTTTTTTAATTTAAGCCTACCCTAGCCAGAATTCCAATGAATTGAATTCTAGGGAAAGGAAAAATTAAGCACGGTATTCCTCCTCACATAACACAACAAATTAGCCCAACCCAAATTTATACATACATTTATTTACTGCAAGCCTACATACATTGCTTATAATTAATCACATTTCCCCCCAAAACAACTAAAAACAATAAATGTTTCTATAAATGATTTGGGCCTATTCATAAGCTTTTGTTTTGCAAATAGCACACTTCATTTTTACAAATGAAGAAACAGTCCTGATATTTAAAACTCCTTAAACTTAGGAGGGAAGATAATTTGGGACAAAAAGCAAGGAAAGACACAATATTTTAGTTTGTAAAATTGGTTTATTTACAATTTGGTGTTTTAAAATTGTATTTGAAATTTTTATTTTTATTTATTTCCCTGGCAGGCATTCTGTATTTTCTTAAATATGGAGGCAAAAGATAGAAAACCTGAGTAAATTTAAATTTAAGAGATTTACCTGCGGCTACAGTCAATAAAATTTAACTTTTAATCCCTGAGAACTAGTAAAGTGTCAAAAATAATATTTTTATACATTCAAATGTAAAAAAAAACATTTTAAGAACACAGAAAATAAAGAATAAAGCTATATAATTAGCCTCCCCACAAATGGCAATGAGAAGTCACTCTTCCACAAATTAACTGAGGGTGTGTGCACATGCATTTAAAGTTATTAGGTGCACCTAAAAAGACTAAGATGTTCTAGTCCTCATTTTTTTGTAGTTTATCCCATTTGAAAAATATTGCTAGAAACTGATATGTAATTTATTTAAATAACATAAAGGCCCATTGCTAGCTTAAATTTCCTCCCTTTCTAAATTTGTGTGTGATGTATGGTTAGGAATTTTCTTTTATTGTCCAAGACCAAAATTAGCTGATTACAACCTAAGCCCCAAATTTTGCGGTGTTTCTGCAAAGTCACTTGGGAACAAGTTCCTTCTGTTTCCTCAAATATCAAATGAGGATAATTATAGCTCATAGAGATGTCTAAGGATGAACTGATGTTCATACAACACCATGAGATCTGTGAAGGAGCTTTCTAAGTAAGCAGCAATGCTCTCTGGAACAAGTAATACAATTGTAATACATTCTTGCCACTCCTTATTATAGAAGGCTTGTGAATATTCCTAAAAGGTCAGCTTTCTTCAGAAGAGTAAATATTAATTCATTAATGCATTAGTTTCCTCATTAAACTTCCTTGAGATGCAAGGCAATAGCAATTATTCTCCCTCATTCCGCCCACAGTATGTATGAATTGTATCACAGATTTTAAGAATGTGACCACAGCAAAACAGTAAGTCAAAGTCAAACCAAATAAACAAACCAGAGACCTTGCAGTAAGATGCAATTTTCTTAGGAGTGTGCAACACATTGGCAGTCGTTTTTCATTTGGGACCCGGTTAAAGTATCACTAAAGACAAGGGCCTAATGGCCCAAAGGAAGGGTGGTGTAATTCAAATTTAAAAAAAAAAAAAAGACAACAAAAAACAATGAAACAAAGCCACAAATACCTTCTTCAAATCCCTCTTAATGCTCTCTTTCCAAAACAGAACGTAGTCAAACCAATTTCCCCTTCTTTAAAAGACCAACATCAATGTCAGCTAGCAACATTCTCTACTCCTAGTTCGAAGGCAACTTTGAAATTCCAAGAATATTTATTTGTATAGTTGTTGATTCCAAAAGGGAAAAGATTATGGAGATTGAAACAGAATAGAACATTAATCAATTTAAGAAAGAACTTTGAAAGATTTGATATAAGAAAAGAGAATGAGTATGAACTATAATTCACTGAGTCAGTCAGTCAGGACTGGACAATAAATTTTAAATTTAAATTGCTGCTTTAGCACCAACTTTCAATTTTATACATAATGCACATCTCTTAAACATGTATTTCTAAACATATTGTTTTTTGGATTAGTTTGTTGGCTGGGTTTGCATTGCATATGAAATTTGAGAAGCAAGATGAGCAATAATGAAAATCTATGGCATGGGCTATAAGACAAAGGCTGGGCTCAAGGAACTCTTTATAGTGTTCCCTTGTTTAAGCAAATCCCACTTTCGATGCAGGAAGCCACACAAGTAAATTCCTTGGCTGTTGGTGGCAGGAGGGATGTAAATAAAAATGTGAGGTAGTTCTTTCCACAAGAGAGAAATATGTGACTACATAATATCCCTGCAATGTCTGACAAATTACTAGAGCATCTGCTTGCTGTCATCCGTAAGTAAACTCTTAGCTTGGTATTAACTGAACCTGACAAATCATGAGCTAGTTGCAGTTTACAGGCTTTACATTCTGACCCAGCCATGACAGGAGACATTAACACCCCAAAAATGTGCACCAGAGAGACCACCAAGTGTAAAAACTACAAAATCATAAGCATTAAAAAGCATGGGGTGGAGCTGGTAAGAACACATAAGAACAGTTCACCAGAACCTGTGCACAAGAAAGAATGAAGACCAGTGGGGAATAATGGATAGATGCTGCTCCCACAGCTTAACTGCAACCTTGAAGGTTAAAATAAAAATAGACGCAATGCTCTAGCATGATAAAGAACATGGCAGAGGTCATATAAATAAAAAATAACATAAAAATATTAAAGGTAAAGGAATAGAATATTCTGAGAAAAGCAAGAGCTGACTACTAGAACTTTAGTCTTTCTTACTTGGAATCTGCATATTTACTGGACAATAAATTTTAAATTTAATTGCTGAACTAATGAATAATCGCTGATGAACAAATTATTACTAGTAGAATGAATTATTTTAACTTCCCAAGACACTGATACAGAACTATCTATTTAGCATTCTAAACCCTCTCCAGGCTAACAAACCAAGAATAATACCAGAAATAGATCAGGAGTTAAATTATAGTTAGAAAAGGGGAGAAAAGTTAAGGTAGGACATTTAAATTTTATTCTGAAATTATCTCTGGCCACAACAATAAAATTTAACAAATATTCACTAAACAGTCTTACTCCTGTCATCAGCTGTACAATACATACAGTATCATAGAACTGGCCACTAGGATTAAAATCCACTAGAACATGTTCTATGTTAAGTGGCGACAGCAGCATCTCACAGAAATTTTTACATACATATATACACAGTCCACATTCAACCATTTTCACATATTTTCAGTACACACAGTTGCAGCATATCAGTCACGTGTCTAAGTTGTTGCTCGATTAAAAACCCAAGCCACTGCCTAGACATAACTGTAGCAGTTGAGCTGAGTACAATTACAATTAATTTTATATATGTCCATAGCAGAGAGATGTACAAGCCCCTAAGAAACAGAGTTCACAAATACTTTTTTTTTTAATGCTACCATAGCATTATGTTGGGCAATATTAAAACCTTTACCAACCAAATCAGTTTTTTAAAAAGTCTTCTGCTTACCAGAAATATTCTTAATGAAAAAAATTACAAAAATGAATGCTCTCTTTAAAATAATTCACACTTTTATTTAAGATTCCAATATGGCCCAATGCTACTGATGCCTAAAGTGTTTTCTAACATTCTGATGGAGTCATTTAACATGACTCCAAACCACCCATTAAGTTTAAAAGTGGCTTAAGTGCCTTGCACCCAAATTGTAAAAATCCCTGGCCATCCTTACTAGAGCCAGGCACATATAAAAGGAATGCACTTTGGTTCATACCAAATGCCCTGGGATTAATCACACTATAAAATTAAATGGTTTGAGGTAAATTTTTACAAATACAGTTGATTTTTGTCTACTGTTAGCATAACAAAAAAGTATCATTTAAAAATCAGTCTGATGTTAAGATACAACAAAGACCATCTTTAACCCCTTAAACATAGGAATTCCCTGTGTAACTAACTGATGGTTATCTTCTCAGTGCCTAATGATTCACGCCTTATGGTTTCGATTAAGGCCTGTAACTAGATATTTAAGACAGATGTATCTTTGCAGAGGTGGGTTCCATCCTTACTGACTAGTATTCAAAGAGTTAAAGAGGCCAAAAAATGCATGCCCTACAACATGGCATTCAGAACAAAAGGCACATTGTTAACACTAAGGGCACAATTTCTCCTCTACTGTTAATCTGCACTGTCTTGCACCATTCTGTTATTCCATTGTCTAGCAATACACTTAAGTGGTAATGCATACTCGGGTGGTGCAAGAAACAGAGCCTAATGAGACTGCAACCAAAGACAAGACAACACTGTGCTATTCCTAAATCTGAAAACATCTCAGACATCCCTAGACAATGGTAACCTGTGAGACCAAAAACTGTTTCCAAGCCAACTCCTAGTAGTCTATCAGAGCCCTTCGTTGATATTTTAAAATCACAAAGATGCAATAGTTTTCTTTTTTCTTTTTTTGACATTATAATTAAGCTAGAATTTTTTAAAAGCAGCTTCATCACTAAACACTGAAACGTGGTGGCTCTTGTGAATAAAGGAAATTTCATTGTATTTGGACAAACTAACAAAAAAGCCCCACAGCACTGCACGCTATAGTTTGGCTTAAAAGTTTCCGGTTGCATTTGTGACTAAAGATAGTCACAAATGCACGCTGGCATCTAAAGAACCAGTTTTATGTGGCAGGGAAAAAACAAGCAGTATTAGTCCATTTGTAAGTTTTCACATGTGTTAATATAATCATTTTATAAGAAATTAATAATGGCAGGCTCAAGTTCATATATTTAAACACAAATGTGAAGATGAGTGGAAATGAAAGAGGAGCATTAGGAGGGGAAAATATGACCTAAAGAAGCTAACCATCATTAAGAGGCTCGTGGTCTTACAAAGCCACCAAATCAAGTCTTAGACTTCTTATGCCTTTAAGCCAAAATCTTAATAAATACACAAATCTTTAAACTCTACAAGCCACTGATTGGGGGTATCGTCACATGAGCATCATTTGAAGTGTTACTTACTAACATATTATTGCACTTCCACAGATTACACAGAAATGTGTATAATATGCTAAAGAATTTGACTAGGGGAAAGAAGCTATAATTTCTAGATACAGACAGAAGTACAAATTAATTTATCTGTGACACCCATAAATAGTAAAGCAAATATCAATATCACTATTTTATTAATAAGCTAATCTTATTACTGTTTTTTGGCAAATATCTGAAATATTTCCTGAGCATTTTTTTCCACCATCAACCAACAAAGCCTCAAGATAAGTAAAGTGTTTTGTTCAAAACTTTTTTTTTTTTTTTTTAAGTAAGAGAAACTGTAGGATTAATATTCAAAGAACTTAACCGGAAACTTTCTTGGCCTCACTGGGACCATGCTTTAAGTACTTGTAAAATCAATTTACAGGCAATACAATAATATCTGTGCATATAAAAGATTATTTATCCTAATTTGTACTACCCAAATCCTACTGTCCAAACAGGCAGAAATCTTTCTATATTAAATTGCACATACCAAAAAATTTTTCCTCGTGCCTTGAAATTGTTATATATCACTGCTTATACATTAGTGATAAAATACTGAAATTTTCACTGTGAAAATAATTATTATTCAGAGAAGAAAATATTCTTTTACCTAACTCTCAGTTACTTTTCCAGTAAAGTGTCATTCCCACAAAAACAATCAGTGCAATCCAAAAGAAAGTAAAATAAAATAGAGGAATGCAATTTCTGTGGTTCTTCTAATGATATAAAGAGTAAGTCAAACCATTTAACTTGAGGTTGAACTTTTCCTCCTTTAAATGTGTTGTCAAAATTGGCCTTACTGAACAGCCACAGTGACTTCTGTTTATCAAGAGGATTTTCAACCCTCTTTCTTTAAAGAGTTGATACTTTCCCAGGCAAAGAGAACCTTACAGAGGCACCTGAAAAGTGTGAACTCACTCTAATCTGCTAAATCTTCTTTGGGACTATGGAAATCCCCACCTTAAGTAGCTAGGCTGCTGTTCTTTTTAAAACTGGAATATGAAATGATGGTCATCATCACAGCTGAAATGTCTCTTTGCTGTATTATAATAACAGTCAGGGATATACAGTTGAAGGAAGAAGGCAAACTAAATGCAAGCAACAGATGTGTGGTAAAAGAGGAACAGAGAGGAAAAAAGCAAAGAGAAGGGAGGAATAGCTCGTGGAATACATTTCTAAATTTAGGTGCAAAACCAATTCTGTAATATGAGGCTTCTTTACAAAACAGCTTGCCGATCATACTAGAAAATTTGGAGGAACACACGTTTCCATTTCCATTTATCTGCTAAAAGCTGCTTTGCTGGCTTTTAGAATGTCAGGATGCTAACCGAGCAATTTAAATCTGGGGATTTTATTTTGTATTTGTTTGAGCACTAGAGAAAAAGCTATCTCTAAGGTAGAGAGGTATAGTTTTTCTTAGAATATCACTTTTGTCCTGACCATTCTCCTCCCACCACCACCACCTCCCAGATAAACTTACGAAAAATGAAAGGAGGACAGGCTACACCTGTGCATGGACCTGGAGTATGGAGAGATAAGGAGGGCCTTAGGGGGCTATCACCCTGGGGAGAATATAATGTGAACCATGGAAACATAATAGTGAATGTCTTTGACACCAATCTGTAGATGCGTGGCAGTCATGAAGTAATCAATGGCCTGCCACTGATGTTATTATTCTGCCACACTAAATACAGTAAGGCTCATCGTACTTTTAGAACACAAAAAGTTTCAGAAAGTATAAAAACTTAAAGCATTGTCCTCATGTATTTTATAAAAACAAAATGAACAACTTTCTTACATTAAAATTAAGTGCTGAAAAGATACAAATGAGTAGAGTTATTGAGCAAATAAAAACAGGTCTGAGCTACTCCTTTTCAACCCAGTAAGGCTCAGCAACGTCGTATCTTTCAGATTACCAGCATCGGGGGATTCGAGCTCAGCTAACGAGTTTTGGCAACACTGTCCTCTGCTGAATATTCCCATTGGCATCTGTCATTTGTGCCAAATTAGTCCTCAGTTTGGAAGCTGAACTGGAAGGTGGAGGTAACTTAGAAATAGACGTGATAGCACCGGTGCTCTCCGTTATCCTTTTCACTGATGTTTTCTCCCCAGTGGGAGGCTTTGGCAAGCGCCTCCTCAGCCAAGGGTGCCGCAGAGCCTGGCCAGGGGTCATGCGCACCGCAGGATCCCATTCTAAACACTGTTTTAAGAAGTCAAGGAAAAGGGGGTCGTCACACCCCTTCAGTGCATTCCCCCACTCTCTGCTCTCCGGTGGACCCCTCAGTTTCCCCCTCCGGGAACGGCCTCCATTGAGGACCACAGAGCCATCCGAGAGAGTCGTGACAGTGCAGTAACGGGGATAACCCTTGGAGCTCACAAAATTTTTGGCTCGTTTGGCTGCATCCAACAGTTTCTGGGAGGGCATGCCCAACAGTTCAATCATGCAGGCCAGCTGGTCCCCTTCGTCTTCCCCAGGCAAGAGGGGGTAACCCGTCAGGAGCTCTGCTAAAATGCAGCCCAGGCTCCACATATCAATGGGCATACCATACCTGGCCCCAAGGATCACTTCCGGAGCCCGGTAAAAACGCGACTGGATGTATGTGTAGACACGCTGATGCTCGTAACAACTGGAGCCAAAATCAATCACTTTAATACCACTTCTACCTTGCTGCTTTAACAAAATGTTCTCGGGCTTAAGGTCACAGTGAATTATTCTGTTTTTGTGCAAAGCATCCAAGCACTGCAGAATCGAGTGAGCAAACTTTCGAACCAAAGGCAGGCTGAAGCCCTGGAATTTATTCTTCTTGATGAGCTCATAGAGGTTCATGCTCAGCAGTTCAAAGGTCATGCAGATGTGGTTGCGGAAGGTGAAGTTCTCCAGCATGTGGATGACATTCATAGTGTTGTCCTTGTCCTGCTTCCGCAGGTGTTCCAGGATTCGGATCTCCTCCGCTGCTTGCCGGTGGAAGCGCTTCTCATTCCGCACCATCTTCAGGGCCACGTGCTGGTGGACTTTGTGATCATAGGCCTTGACCACCTGCCCAAAGCTCCCCTTGCCAATGACCTTGAGGACCTCGTACCTGTAAGCCACGTGATCGTGGGGCACCTGCACATATGATCCCTGGTCATCATCATAGCCACCGTTGTTGGGCCCACCTGTCATGCCCTGGCGTTTCTTTGCGTTTGGACCCAAGAAATACACTTCGGGGTAGCTGAAAATCTCATGGTGTTCGAAGGCAGTTAGTTTTTGCATGTATTGCTTCATTGCTTGTTCGGGCGTCATGGGGGTGGCTTTCGCCTTCCCCATCCCTTCCATGGACTTCAGAGAGGTGGAGCTCCCCTGCCGTCTATGAATGCTCTCCAGCTGCCGCTCTGGCACCACCGGCAAGCCCGTCTTGCCCACTGTTGTAAGCCCATTTGGTTGTGTTGTGAGCACTGTCCGCTTGTTACTGTTATCCTCAAACAGCTGCTGAACCTGGATCTGTCCATGGGTGTGGCTGCCGACATGCAGGTGATCATTCATTGTGTGCTTGCTGCCACCAATCTGGAATTCAGACAGGAAATATGAACAGAATGGAAGAGGTCTGTTCAAATGGGGTATTTTAAAAGTCAGTCCCTGTCCCCCACACCCCATCTTTACAAAATCCAATTCGGTTTGAATTCACAGCCAGGCCAGGTTTACTAAATGGAAAGAGCTGTGCAGCCGGGAGGGACCTCATGAGCACACTAGCAGGGAGAGCGGACATGATGCTGATAGGGCGCTGACAGGCTCTGACAAGGAAAAGGAAAAAGAGAGCAGGGGGCTAGGTAAGGATACGAAAGATGAGATCCTGAAAAAAGGATTCCATAAATGCCACATCTAGCAGATAAGAGGTCTGCTGCCTTAGAGGCAGAGATTGTATCTTTCTTGTTCGTCATTCTACACCCAACATTCAGTACCGGGCCTGCCACATCACAGGTGTCCCACTCAATCCACACTTGATATAAAAACGAAACAGGATGCACAGAAAGCATAAGCCCATGAGACTCTACACGGGCTCCCCCACTCCAAGATCACAGCAACTTTCACATTTCATTTAGTTTCTTCAGCACGAAGACAGGGCCCTGTCTGTCTTGTCCACTACTCTTGCCCTCATATCTAGCTCTATTCTGAAAACACTTCATCACCAGTTTTTCCCCTTTCCTGGGAAAATCTGATTAAACCTAGGAACATACATGATCCAGTGACAAAAATCCTGTGTTTTTAGGCTTGAAAGATTCCCACATAGATACGCACGATAGTATCTTGTAGACCCATAACCTATTTTTAAGTTTCCAGGCTTCACTGACTGTGAAGACCATGTAAGGCCATTCAGCCCAACAAACCAAGCAACTACCACACTGTTTTGGGCCTTCCTTTGGTCAATGGTTTGGCTTTCTTAAGACATAGGCTGCTGAGCTACTCAGCTTTCCAACAAAGAATCCAAAGAAGTAATTTCTACTTCAGGTACACATGCCATGCCTGAACACTGCTGTCTAAACAAAACGGATGGTGTAAATCAAGGGGCCCCCAGCCTTCTACTGAGAATCTACTTGGGGTTTCCTTCAAGCACGGTATTGCTAAGAGGTGAGGGGTGGGAGAGACCGGGATACCCTTCCAGTTAGGCATTCTTGCCAGCCTTGGACAACCACAAGTCTTAAAGCTGCCCGGTAGGTGAGTTTTATATGGAAACTTAAAGGTCAACTTGTCATTCACAATCTACCTTATCCTTTTGACCAGTATTATTATTAACAGAGGCCTAGCTGCCAAAGTGGCAGAGTCCCTGCCCTGTGGGAGCTCACAATCAACTAGCTGAAATCCTTTGCCATCAGTATATTTTCCATTATCCTCTTCTAAATTCTACCTTTTGGGCCTCATATATTACGGGAAGAGTAGAAGTGCTCTGTATATGTAACACTATAATTCAAGAAATGACTTGGGAAACCTAGACTATTAAAACAAACTTCCAAGTCCTTCCTACTAGCAGACCAAGACCTGCACATTTTCTTCAGCTGACACGTAACAGGGGCAATGACTATGTATGGAGTAAGCTTTCTCTCTGCTGGCTTCCAAAATATAGCAGAAGTTGGGGCTTGGGCCTGTCTGATCATGGCTTCATAGATTCAAGGATTTTATTTCTCAGAGAGATTCTTAGAAGACTTCTAGTTGAACTTTTTTGTTAAACTCATAAGATGACACTCCATATTAGGTGACCTTACATTCTACAAGCGTAGCGAGACAGTTGTTTCACCCTTGTTCTATGTCAAAAGTAGGGCAGCCCATCAAAATGAATTAGGAAAGTCTTGGGCACATATAAAAGTAGCGCAGGCTTGTCCGTTTGCTTTTCTTCCCTCGCTCTGCACCCTCTCCTCTTCACTGTGGTCCTTCAAACACTGGGGAGGACAGGGGCCTGAAACTCAAAATCTCTCTCTCCTACAGAACCATTTTCCTCAGGGCAGGATGATGATATTTCAGAAGAAAAATCCACATTACCTGTGTACGTGCTATAAAAAGCATGAAGCTTCATTAGGGACAAAATTAACCTTGGGGCTTTAGAGATTCCTAAAAAGACAGCAAAGTAAAACTTTCTGAGCACCAGAAATTCACTTCAATGTTCACTACAGCAAATTTTATGTTAAATTTTCTTATATTAAATTGCATAATTTATAACATAACCACCACCGTTTTAGTGATTAGAACCAAAGGGAGTTTGCCAATAAAGTGGACCACCCCCATCTCTCCAACTGCCTTCTCTTGGTCTCCTCTGCAGTATCAACTACTAGTTCACCTACCCTTAGCTGGGAGCAAGGGTTCCTCAGGGTTCAAGCCTCCATTCTCTTGGTTTCTCACTCCCATAACTCTCCCCAGTTGATCCTGACCACAGCCCGGCTCTGGCAACTGCCCACAGGTCAATGTCTGCACATCTGCTCCTCAAGCTCAGACCTGCCAAATCCATACCTCCTGAACTCAAGACATACGTGTCCAACTACTGCTCAGTTCCCTCTCCCACAGGCAACTCAAACTCAACTCATGATTCTTCTAACAAAACTGTTTCCTCATCCCACAATCCTCAATTTTTAGCAAACAGAAGGCATCACCTCCACATAGTCACTGAGGCTATGATGCCTGGGAATCCTGGCACTGCACACCTGGAAAGCCTTCTCAACGTCTCCCTCAACTTCCCAAATCATCACGAAGTCTTGCTGTTACCATCCCACCCGCTTTCCAGCCACATGGCCTCACCTCGCACTCCTGCTGTCTTTCACCGGACGGCTGAGGTGGCCTAATAACATGCCCCCTTGCTTCTACGTCTAGAGTTCCTGCAATCTCTTCCCCACAGTGCTTCTAGAGTTGCCACTTAGAGGTGTCCATCTGAGACTGCTCTTGCTTTTCTCAAGGCCCACGGCTGGGACCATTTCCACAGCTAATAGGAGAATTTACCAGTAAGAACACAAGGTTCTAAAATGTAGAGCCTAAATGATCTGAGGCCTTTCAGTCCCATCTACCACTAGCACTCTTCTGAGAGGAAAGAAACCAGCTTCCCCAGGACCCATGGAAGTGCCATGCTGTTATGCTCCTCTGCTTTTGGTGAGGTCATGTTTCATAATGGTTAGGAGCAAACAAAATGAAACCAGCTCCACCATTTACTCACCGTGTGACCCTGGGCAATTTAATCTCTCTGAATCTCCATATGTTTGCCCCCAAAAAGAAGGTAACAAAGTTACCTCATTAGGGCTATCAGGAGGATTAAATAAGATAGTATGTGTAAAGTGCTTAGTATAGCACTTAGCAAATGAGAGCTATTATTCTTGTCTTTTCCAGATGTTGCTTGGAATCTCCTTCCTTCCCAAGTCTAGGTGATAAACTCTTATTCATCCTTGAAGGTCTGGTTCAACTCTCACCTCCTCTGTTATACCTTCCCTGACCTACTAAACAGCTACTTCTGTACTCAGAAAGCACTGCTATAAAACACATTTCATTTTACTGTAATTGTTTTAACATCAGGTGCACCCATCTGGCTGTGAGCAATTCCAGGGTGGGGTCACCTCTTATCCTTCTAAATCCTTATTAACATAAACCCAGGCATACAATAAGTGGTCAATAAATACCTGTTGAATGAAAGAACACACGTCAATAAATCCCTGTTAACTTTTGCCTCTCTTGGAGTTAATCCTCATAACTAAATTTTGTACCTTCGTAAGAAAACATGAAGTCAACACCCAGGGAATTGGGAAACGTCCCTGGTGATCTAAGTCACAAGACGTTAGGCTTGCAGTGTATCAGCAGAGACTTGGGTGCAAAGGATGGCCAGTTATAAAATATTTTGTAGCAGACACAGCAAGTAAACACCAAAAGTAACTCTTGGAAGCTTAAAAACTTTCCAGAGATTCATTTGAGAGGTTCTAGTAAAAGAGGACTTTGAGTCTCAAACACTGGAGAACTGTGAAATCACAACCAAACTTGGAAGTACACTGAACTGATCTGTGACAGGGGAAAGGGAGACTAGAACAGCCAGAAGATTTCCAGAATACATATGCCAGGACTACATCATAAACCTAAGGACATTAACAATCTCTCACTCCTGCTCAACCTCCTGAAGTCTGAGATCGTGGCTTATTCCTACTACTTGCCAATGTCTAGCACAGTGTGTGTCATGTTTAAAAATATACACTGAATAAATATAATTGTTAAAATACCTACGATTTATGGTTTAAAATGGAGAGAACTACAAAAGGCTTCTTTGACTATGAAATATTTCAGTATTAAAAATTATGTGAGAATAATAGTCTAACCAGTTTGGTAGTTTTAATCATTTCCAAGAAAAAAATGGCAAACAGCAGATATTTCACTGTGCTAATGTTTCTGGGCGTCTTAAAACTTCTCTGAAGTCATCTTAGAAATGTTGTGTAGTGTTATGGGACTAGAATTGAGTCCAAGAAGACTGGAATTTTAGCTCCTCCTCAAACATACTGACAGTCTGTGTGGCTCTGAGTCAAATGCCTATTTTTTCTTCTTCAAAATATTACTGTTTTTTAAATGTAAATTTTAATTCTTCTTTAATTCCAATTATTTTATAAAGATAAAGCTGGTGACTGGAGAGTACTTTAAACATTAAGAGTTATGATACATACTAATGTTTTGGAATTAAAAAATAAATACATTAATATCTCCCACCCAACATTAAAAGAAAAAGCTAAAAGGAATTAAGATAATTACTGGGTACACTTTTAGGACAAATAGAAATAAACTAAATGACTAAAGCGTAAAACAATATATACATGGAGAAAACAAAGGTGCAATAGACTAGATAAATTCCAAAGTTTATAATCTTTATAATCATATATTTACCTGCCTACTATTTCATTTACAAAGGAAAATATGGGCAAGCTCCTATGACAAGATCATCTTCCTCTCCTTAATGCCTTTTCCCCACTCATTCTAAAAGTTCTTCCTAGGTGTAAGTCTTCTAGAATTGAAAACTAAAAAACTTTAAAAGAAACCTGACAGACATATGAGAAGACGGATCTGCAAAGGTTCCTCAGTTTATAATGATGCTAATACAATTTCCTACAAGGAGAAGTGGACAGCAGTATGTTAGAGCTAGACTCAGGAGGGCGTGTGCTTTCACTCCGGCCTTGATATGAGTTGGCTAGGGAATCTTGACCAAACCAGTTAACTTGTCTGAGTCTGTTTCCTCATCTGTAAATTGAAGTAGTAGAACCAGATAAACTCTGTGGTTCTTTTAAACTTTCCTGTATTATGAACTCTACAATGTTACACAAATAAAATCAAAACTAAACCACTGAAACTCAAATTCATACTTTCAAAACCACGCATCTAATCATTAACAGCATACTGAAGTTTACACTTAAGTTAAAAACAAGTAGATCAAGCATATGGCACAGCAAAACGCAGCCCTCTATTATTAGGAGTACTGAGAAGCACATTCACATCTTTTCTTGTCTGTTGTACCACAGACTATTCCTCTAGTGGAGACTTGTCATTTATCTCTAATTTTATCACATATTTCAATTGCAAAGAGGATCCGATCAAGCAAAGCTGATCCTTACAAAATTGGAATCCAGACGCAAACCAAATATTTCTTTCCCAGTTCACACCATGTCATGTGATTTTATTAACACATGGAAAAAAACTGAATGTTATTATACTTTCCAAATTGTCAGATGATTCCAAGCCAAACAAAAAAATCCTAACCCCTAAAACCAATGGCGGTTCCTAACTAAAATGTTACTGTGACAAGAACACTTAATGGTAATATACAGAATCATGCATTCCACTGAAAGACTCATAGCCCAACACAGACGTCTGTGTAGTGAATTCCTGGGCCCTGGGACTAGATGTGTCAGGAATGGGAGGACAGTGAGGGGGACAGAATAACAACAACAAAATGCTATGGAACTTGTATATATCTCTTCAGATCTAAAAAATGCAACTATAGTCTAGACGTCTCACAAATTCTCCTCTGATCAACAAGTTTCCCCATAACACATGACCCCCAGAGCTGCTCCCCTGTAGGCTAGAAATGGTCTTTTCTGTAAGAACTCAATTTTCACTTGACAAACAAAACTACATCCCTAGCAAGCATCCCTCACACAGAACCACCTCTGAAAGATCCAATTGGAAAAAAGACCACCCATACCATCACTCCTCCAAACGCACGCCTCCTCTAGGCTGGCAGTCACCATCCAAGGGCCATCCCTGGGAACTGAGAAAAAGTACATGCTGAAGTAGAATCCAGCTTGCTAATCTCTGCAGCCACCAGTCCCACGCTGGCCTGGTTCTTCCCTCTGGGCCCTCTGAGGGCCCTCAGCACCTGTTAGGTGCCTGTTCCTAAAGGGCAAAGCCAGCCCTTTCCTTTTGAATAATGTCCAAGTGCAGAATCCTACAGGGGTGGCTCGTTTTGTTTTGACTGCTGCTGCGGCTCTTATTTTTGTTAATGTTAATTACAATTTCTGCTGTGCTCAAACCTGTAGCACTCATAAAACATGCTTACACACGCGGGGGACAATTGGCGATGCTCCCTGTTGGCTGGAGCAAGGCCTGGGAGGCTCTTTGGGGGATCGATTTTCCGGGCAGGCAGGCCTGGCTGTCCCCTAACACATATCTGCTTCTATAAATACCCACTACCCACGGGGAGCGGGGGCGGTGTTGTGGAGAGGAGAGATGTTTACCGGGTCAGGGAAGCGAGCTCTGGGAAGCAAGGACGGAAAAAAGAAGAGAGAAGGAAGCAGCAAGGAGGAAGCTCCCAGGAAGAGGAGCTCAGGGGTGGGCGGGCTCCGAGGGGAAGTGAGGGCCCCACGCCACGACTCTTCCTTTGTGGCTGCAGCTTTTTGGCTCGCCCAAGTTACAGAGGGCGGCGTCGAGGGGAGGCCACTGGCGTGGAGCTGCTCGCACTTCGACCTCTCTTCTCCCGGCGTAAGAGGCGTCAGAAGCCGAAAAGTCCCGTCAGAAGCCCGCAAGTCCCGGCGTTTCTGCCCAGGGCCCCACCCGCCCCCCCACCGCCCGGGCCGCCTGCGGGCTGGGTCTCACCGTGTGGGCTGCGGCGGCAGCGTTGCTGGCCCGGAGAGGCGGCAGGGCGATGGGGGAGGGCGGACCGGTCCCCACTCCGCTCCGCGGGGCCCCCGCACCGAGCCCCGGGGAAGCCTGAAGCTGGCGAACGGCGCTGTCCCCTCCTCGGCCTGGGAGCCACGTGCGGGAGGAGACAAAAGAGGGTCAGGGGGGAGAAAGTCACCCGGACCCCACCCCCACCCTGCTGGGCAGCGAACGTCCTCTCCCGGGGGAAGACGCAGGGAGAGACCGGGACAGGAAAAACGGGTGTCTGCGGGATGAGGGGGCGCCGAGGCCACAGCTCCGCGGCGCGCACCCACGGGCGGGACTCCGGCAGCTGCAAAGTTAAGTCGGGCCCTGACGCGCGAGTTCGCGACCTGGCGGGGGAGCCAGGCTGGGCCGGGGCTTCGCGGCCCACGTTGCAGGCGGCCAGCGGCAGGGAGGAGGGGCTGCACCGCCGAGGAGGGCGCGACGGCCTCGCCAAGCCCCGGGCGGGGCGGGAGCCCAGACGGCCCCCACCCGAACCCGCGGCGGGCTCCCTTCGGAGGGGCCTTGGGGCCCGCGTGCAACAATGAACGGAGCCCAGGCGAGGCGAGGGCGCGCTGTCCGCCCGCGGGCTCCCCGCGCCGCCCGGCCGCGGCGCAGACTTTGTTCGAGTCCCGCAGGCGGCGGCCGCCCGCGCCACAAGGGCTGGCCCGGGGGCCAGCGGGGGGCGGGAGAGGGCGGCGCGGTGGCCCGGTGCGCCTTACCGGTCGGGTAGGCGGCGGGAGCGGCGGCCGAAGGTTTCCTGGTTAACATGGCCGCTGGAGAGGAAAATGCATTTCAGGGCTGCCGTCTCCGCCGCCGCCGGTCCTGCTGCTACTTCTCGCGGCCGCCGCCGCCGCCTCCTGGTAGCCCCTCGCACGGGTCTCTCGCACCTCCTCGCCGCCTCGCGTCAGCTACAGCCAGACACACACAGTCCGCTGCATCCCCTCGGCCCGGGCCCGCCGCCGCGAGCCCCCCGCTCTCCTCCTCGCCGCCGTCCTCCTCTTCCTCGGGCGGCTGCAGCACCCCCCGGCCCGTGCACATGCCTCGCCTTCCCCGGCGCGCCGCTGGCCTCCCCGATTCCCTCACATAGGGGCGCGGGGAGCGGGCTACGCCGCGAGGACAGACTCGGCTCGGGAGCCTCTTCCCGGGCTCGCGCGCGCGCGCCCCCGCGCACACTCACACACAGGCGCCGGCGCGCGGCCCGGCCCGGGAGGGCAGCCCCGCCCCCGCGCCCCTCCGCCGCCGCCGCAGGCCCCTCCCCCGACTCCCCCAGCCTAGCCACACACTCTCGCCTACACCCCACCCCCACCCAGCCACCCACAGGAGTCCCTCCCCCGACCCGACCTTCTGCATAGCCGCCCCTCCGAGCCGAGCGAAACTCTGCAGCCTCCGCTTGCCCTCCGCCTCCCTCTCTGGCCATCTGCACTGCCCCCCTCGGTTCCCTCACTAACGACCTTCTCCCCTCCCCGACCTCGCCAGCCCTGCGACGGCCCTCCTTTGCCCTACAGCGCAATCTACCACTGCTTCCCCCCTACCGAAGTCGCTGCAGAGACCCCTCCCCTTCCATGCGCGCCCCTAAACGCAAATGCCTTTTCAGCTTTTCGAACCTAATGGCTGCTCACAAACAATACTTGCCCCCGCTCCCGTGTCCCAGTGACTTAACCACTCCTCCTCCCCAGTTTATCTTGTAGATAACTTAGTTGTGCGAGGGTCACCTCGGAGAGTCAAGCCCCGTGCAGGGGCCGCAGCTGAGCCTGGTGACCCTGAGCATGGGCGAAGTCAGGGGCTGCCCTCCCACCTCCGCCTCAGCCACACACTCCCCGATTTACTGACACCAAGTGACCGCTCTCCAGTCGCTAGGACAAGGGGAGACAGGCGCGTGTGGACGGCCGCTGGGGAAGCAGTTGGCTGTGGGTTGCTAGGCAAAAATAAACATCAGAGTCACCTCCCATTTCCTTACAACTCCGAGCCTTTCCCCTGCGCGGCCGCTGGGAGAGACACGCCTTCTTTTCAGCTCTCTACGGCAAGGGTTCCTCTAATTCCTCTCATCTCCCAGACTCATCTCTTTCTCCTTCCCTTCCAAGACACATGGAGAATTTCCCTGCCTTTCTAATTTGCCATCTACAGCCTCTCTTTTCCTGAAGACTAAAAAATTGCTTGTCCATCTCACAACCGCGCCTCATCGTGCGTGGCATGCTGTGCACCTTTATCCAGAGGTCACGGGTTTTGCCGCTTCAACAGTTAGGAGGGTGGGAACCGGACAAATCTCCGATGACAGGGCAGAAAGTTATGCCCTCCTTCCTGAGAGGTGCCCGGTTTCTGAAGTTCTCTTGGGGACGTGGGTCTATTATGCTCTGCCCCGCCCTGCGTTTTTCTGCGCCCCTGACTGGACCTAGTGTGCAGGCCCGAACTAGTGCAGACTCCAGTCGGAAGACAGTCACCTCCTGCGGAGTTCCATCGCCTCCGCTGTTTGCAAATTGTCATAGCAACCTCCCACAGATATAAAAATGCCAAAAACAGTGTTTCGAGGGACAGTGTGACCCTCTCAGAGTCTCTGGGACTCTTACAAAGGCATTGGCAGAGGTAACCTGTGACGAAGAGTAGAATTTTGCCTAGTAATATGTCGCTCCCAAAAAATCCTCCTGGAGCCTTTTCCTAATAAAGTAGAACCGCAGTAAAATAGCCAATCCAATAATATGCCTTTAGAAGAATCATGACCTGAACTGGCCCCAGCAAGAAATAGCCACCTATTTCCTGCCTCCCGGTCTAATTTTTTTTTTTTTTTAGGTTTTATTTTTTTTTTTATTTCAGCATATTATGGGGTACAGATGTTTAGGTTACATGTGTTGCCCTTGGTTCCCCCCCGCCAAGTCCGTGTTTCAAATATGTCCATCCTTCAGGTAGTGCGCATTGCACTCCTTGTGTATACAAATACCCGTCCCCTCCTCCCTCCTCCCCTCTCCTCCCGCCTCCCTCCCCCTTCCCCAGCATCCAATAGATGTTGTTCTGATATGTGCATTTATGTGTTGATTAGTTAATACCAATTTGATGGTGAGTACAAATGGATCCCATTCTTCTGCTCTTGTCTGATTTCATTACGATTTCTAGCACACCACCTTGCACGTTCAAGAAACCTCGCACCTCTTTTCCTTCCTCCCCTTTTAAAAAACAATTATTTTAATACCATTTTCCTTTTTTAAAATGAGCACTCCATACCATTGATGTTCAAATCAAAAATTTGAAGGAAAAAACTTAATTTTAATCTGATACCTTTTACTTAAATTATTTGTGTGGTACTTCAATAGAAGCTAAATATGCCACTGTTTTTTCATGAATAAGGAGAATGCTAACTACTGGAAGTCATAGTTTGTGATTTCCAAATTAGTAATAATTGATACATTAAACGTGAGCAAAAGGAGCACTATTTTTTTTTTTAACAAATGAACACAAACAATCATTAACTTTAATCAAAGAAAGAAAAGGATACCTGTTTAGGGAACTTTTCAAAATGTTATATATTGTTTTATAATATGACAAGTATAATTTCAATTTTATATTTTTTTGTTGCTTAACGTAAGGAAAATTTGCAGTTAACCCAATCCTTAGCTATTTTGGTTATAAATGGTACATCTTTGAAAATTATATTAATTCTTACTGAACTCTAAATTAGTGTTAATCACTACTTCGATTTCCCTCATTCTGTTAAATATTGATGACCTCAACCTGAATTAATGTCAAATAGAAAGATGTACAAATGCACTCCTTAGTCTTTTGGGAAGATTAAATTGGGTAAATTCTGGGTAAATTCTGGTAAATTATTTCCCACAAAGTTTATTATTATAATTCATCATTATCAATTTTACTATATAATTATACTGCACATTTATCTCTTTATAAAACCCTTTCACAAATATTACTATGTTTAATCTTCATAACTCATAACTCAACCAGAGTTGATTTGACTTTAAATAGTAACTCCCTCAGGGGGCTCCATTCATTTATTAACAGTGTGCTCTTTGGTTCTTGCCCATTGTAAAAACTCTGTCTGTTTCTGTATGCTTATAAAATCCAGATTCAAATAACAAGTAGGTAGGCAAGATTTAGCAGGAGTAGAGAGAAAGAAACTTAGAATTGAGCTTTGTGGAAGGTAGTCGATTTTTCACTTGTAAAAATACTGATCACAGAGAAAATTGGAAATGATCGAGAAAATTGCTGGTTTTGGAACACATTTACTCATTTAATCTCCTTATCACAGAAACATTTATAAATAATTTAGTATGTGGTAGGCCTAGGAAACATGATGAATCATCAGGTATAGTGGGCTAGGCTTCAGTCTGGCAATCTATTAGGAACTCATTCCTTTATTTAATTAAGCAATAAACAGTAAGCACCTAACATATTTTTGACATGACTAGTAGTGGGATGTTATGGTTTGAATATTTATGTCCCCCCAAATTTTATATATTGAAATCCTAACCCCCAAGCTGGTGCATATTAGGCAGAGCACTCATGATTGGGATTGGTGCCCTAACAAAAGTGACTTCAAAGATCTAGTAGCTTTTTCTACCATGTGAGGACACAGAGAGCAGGCACCATCTACGAACCAGGAATTGGACCTTCACCAGACACTGAATCTGCAAGCGCCTTGATCTTGAATTTCACAGGCTCCAGAACTGTGAGAAATAAATTTCTGTTCTTTATGAGTTATCCAGTTTATGATATTTTATTATAGCAGCCTGAAAGACCTAAGATATGGGATTACACAGTTAAATAAATAATCCCTGGCTCTGATCCTTGCTACTAAGTTCACAGTCCAGTAGGGAGACCAGACATTTAACAGTGTGAAAAGGGCAGTAAGCAAGGCAGATAGAAGTCACAGGGATGGCACACAAAAGGGAGCCATGAGCTCTGCTTTAAGTGGGGTCAGGCCTCAAAAGGGGCTGTGCTTCAGTGGAGGTTTTAAAGACGCTTGGGAGTTTGCCAGTCCAACGAGTCAGGCCAGGACATTCTAGGCAGAAGATATAGGGTGTGCAGAGGCACCAAGGTGTAAGAAGGCATGGTGTGTCCTGGAAGAAGAGTAAGCAATTCAGAATAAAGGGAGCTTGGGGTGACAGGGAAAGGGGTGTACTGTCGTCTTCCTAGGGCTAGGGTTATGGATAGATTGAGTCAGGTTAAGAATTATCCTGAACTATCTGCTCTGGAAATGTGAAAATGAGGTACAAGGACTTTTGGAGCAGCTAGGTAAATTCAAAGGAACATATTAATTTTGAGTAACATAGATTGTGGGTAATTTAGATCTAACTCCCTTTAAACTGGTGGTACCCTCTGTGTCTCCGTCACCAAGTTCCAGAACCACCTAGAGAAGAACATGAAGACCCTAGGGCCTTAAGTCCGTTAATGTAAACTTCTCAGATACTACAGGACAGATGCCAGCAGAATGGTGCCCAGTGTGTCCAGGAGCTACAGAGGGATAGAAGTGCTATGACTATGTAGGGGTCTCAGCATCTGGCCCCCAGACCAGTCTTCCCATGCTGGTGGCCACACCATTGACACCGCTCACAGAGCACTGGCCAGTGGAGTCAGCATCCAGGAGACCAACCCATAGGCTGCACTGGGAGCCGCCAGCCAGGAACAGGCTGATTCCAGGGCCCTGGGAATTGTGCTGGACACCACACTTGGTAAGGGATGAACATGTAAAAGTGGCCACAGAAACTCTGAAAGAAATTCCCTACTAGGGAATTTGCTATGAGAGAAGCAAGGGTGCAGTTCTACAAACCAGAGAAGACTAAAGGGAAGAGGTCCTGTGGCATTCCAGATCGTGGGGTCTTTGGTGCTCCTTTAACTGAAAGTGACGCTGTCTGGTAGTCCACCTGCTGCTGGTCTGCCTCAGCACAGCCTCAATAAAAATTTCTTTTAAGTGAAAAATTATATATTTGTTCTTATTTATAACTGGGAGCTAAATAATCTGTATACACGAACATAGAGTGTGAAATCATTGACATTGGAGACTTACTAAGGGTGGGAGGCTGGGAGAGGGTGAGGGATGAGAGATTACTTAATAGGTACAATATACATTATCCAGGTGATGGTTATGCTAAGAGTCCACACTTTACCACTACCCAATATATCCATGGAACAGAACTGCTTGTGTACCCCCTTAAATTTACACAAATAAAAAAATAAT